AATATGCATTCTGGTACCAAAAAAATCGCAAATAAATTCTCTACAAAACAAAAGTATCCCCATCCATTTCGGTTAAAAAATGGAATTTATAGAAATATTTTTTCGATTGACGAGAAAAGTAGGCAGTTATGCGGAATCGTAAGAAAAACCAGTGACGAGTTATCTCTAATCGAAAGCGCGAAAGTGTTAAGTGGACTATAAATTCAAATACCGACTTATGTAGTTTTTGTAATTAGTTCATCTTTGTGAACATCACAGCTCTTTGATTCGATGATAAGCTGGAGCAGAACATCTCTTATAGAAAACAACATAATATTTTCTTCCGCCCCTGATAAGCAAAATTAAAAACACTGATCAAAGATAATTACGTGACGTCAAGCGCTCATTGGTTATAATTACGTGACGTCAAGCGTTCATTGGTTATAATTACGTGACGTCAAGCGCTCATTAGTTATAATTACGTGACGTCAAGCGCTCATTGGTTATAATTACGTGACGTCAAGCGCTCATTGGTTATAATTACGTGACGTCAAGCGCTCATTGGTTATAATTACGTGACGTCAAGCGCTCATTGGTTATAATTACGTGACGTCAAGCGCTCATTGGTTATAATTACGTGACGTCAAGCGCTCATTGGTTATAATTACGTGACGTCAAGCGTTCATTGGTTATAATTACGTGACGTCAAGCGTTCATTGGACATAATTATAAGACGTTAGGTATTCTGATATAATTTTGTATTGCACATCTTCTTATTTGTTGATGTAGGTTCAGCCTAAAATGGTAAGATCATCATCAGTTTCTACGATCATTCTACAAAGAGCTTCATACGATAAGAATTTCAAAACATAGTAACTCACTCATCTCTATTATTAGAGAGCAAGACGCGTGTAGTATTAAGTCGATTCAATATCTCCAGAACATCTGTTATCAATGTTAAACATATCTGCATGGAGACGTGATAACGAGCCACTGATGACGGACGTGACGTCATAGGAGGCGCCTTGATGACTGGTGCCAAGAGGGAAGATAGCGGGTACAACGCTATACATGGTTATCATACAACGTAGATGGACGAAAATTCATATTATTCAGAGTTTTTTCGAAAGTCTTATCTCTCTCTCATATCTTTTTGTGTAATCTTCTTCTCCGCCATTCACTAGCTTTTGTTATTGCCAAGTTCGTACTTGTTAGTTTCTCTCTCATTTCCTGTGTTTGGATGATTTTTGTTTATCTATTTCCTGTGTTTGGGTGTTTTAGTGTTTACGTGACCTCGTCTCTCACTCCATTTGTCCATTATTTTACAAAATACTAACATAAGAACATAAGAAAAACATAAGAACAAAGGCAACTGCAGAAGGCCTATTGGCCCAAACGAGGCAGCTCCTATCTATAACCACCCAATCCCACTCATATACATGTCCAACCCGCGCTTGAAACAATCGAGGGACCCCACCTCCACCACCACGTTACGCGGTAATTGGTTCCACAAATCAACAACCCTGTTACCGAACCAGTGTCTTGTTACTAACGCTTCGATTAATAAATCCCAGTGTCCTATTGAAATTGAAATTGAAATAAGTTTATTGAGGTAAAATACACACAAAGGGATGAGGTAGCTCAAGCTATTCTCACCCCGTTCAGTACATCGTGTTAATACATACATATACACACATCACAAACAATAAACATATTACCAAACATTCTGAGAGATAAACATCTACATTTCCTAGTGTACTATTTGCCTTATTACTCCCGTATAATCTCTTGGTGTTCGGTCCACTAATTAAGATATGATGACATGACTATACCACCTTGAAGTACACTCGAGGTATCTTTTATGTATGGTCACTACAGGTTTAATATGTATGTTAGTTTCCCCGTTAGAGACATGAATTATAATGACAATTAATAATACAAGTCACAGGAGGGAACGCAGCGAGTGAGCTTTCTACTATAGAGGTGTGGTGCTTATTTTCCTCGTTAACAAGCTTAGGTACACAACACTATGCTGCTACCCTTTTCTATATTAGGAATTACAGATCAAGAAACGCGATGCGTATTAGTGACTTTAAGCATAGTATATACAAGCTCTGGGGAAGGGGGGGGGGGGGGGTTGAAATAGCCTAAGGTACTCTATCCCTTTGAGATGTATTTCTTTCTTGTTTCAATAAACATATTTGAACTTGAACTTGAACTAGCTTTATCTGCAAATCCAACATTCTGTTTGTAACTCATTTTGTATGTAATGTACTTTTACCTGAAGGGAACTATCGGGAGTAAGCGCCAAGCCATACTTTTACCTGAATAAACATTATTATTAATATTATTCTAAGAGTTATGAGTTCGTTTGATATACCCATCTTACAGGATGGTTAGTCATATATAGAATCAGAAGAATGCATGGGATGTGTGTGTCGATCGACTGTACCATCCTGCACTAGTAAACTTTGGATGGAGTATGAGAATATCTTCCAGTATTAACATAAATACTAGTGAATGAAATAGCTATTAAGCTCCAAAGTAACTCGGGCCGTTCCGTCCAGTCATTCACTAATGGTGTCAAGTATCCTAGCTCGTGTTGGCACGTGCTGCTATGGCTGTATAGTATGTACACATGTCGTTCGTGAGTGTGTGTGTGTACTCACCTAGTTGTGCTTGCGGGGGTTGAGCTCTGGCTCTTTGGTCCCGCCTCTCAACCGTCAATCAACAGGTGTACAGGTTCCTGAAAAACTCACCTGTGTACTCACCTAGTTGTGCCTGCGTGGGTTGAGGTTGAGTTGCGGGTCTTTGGTTCTGCCTCTCAACTGTCAATCGACTGGTATACAAGTTCCCAAGTTTCTTGAGCTCTATCATATCTATATTTGAAATTGTACATAGTCAGCCTCCACTGGCCTGGTCGACGACCGGGCCGTGGGGACGCTAAGCCCCGGAAGCACCCCACCTCAAGGTAACCACATCACTTCTTGTGCATTCCATTTGTTAACTATTCTAACCCTGAAAAAGTTTTTTCTAATGTCTGTGTGGCTCATTTGGGTACTCGGCTTCCACTTGTCCCCCTTGTGCGAGTACCACCTGTGTTAAATAATCCGTCCTTATCTACCGTCAATTTCCAGGAGAATTTTGTATGTGGTGACCATGTCGCCCCAAGCTCTTCTGTCTTCCAGCATCATGAGGTACAATTAACGCAGCCCTTCCTAGTAACTCATGCCTCTTAGTTCTGGGACTAGTCTAGTGGCATAACGCTGAACTCTCTCCAGCTTCATCTTATGCTTCACAATGTATGAACATGCTGGGGCTGCATACTCCAGGATTGGTCTTACATGTGTGGTACTAAGGTTCTGAATGATTCCTTACACGGGTTTCTGAAGGATGTTCTGATGTTAGCCAGCCTTGCATACACTGCTGATGATATTCTTTTGATGTGGGCTTCTAGAGACAGGTTTTGCCAGATATCAACTCCTAGATCTTTCTCTGTCCGTTTCATGAACGACTTCATCCCCCCATTCGGTATCCTGTGTCTGGCCTCCTGTTCCCTATGCCTAGTTTCATTACTTTACATTTACTTGGGTTGAACTTTAGTAGCTATTTGTTGGATCATTTCTTCAGTTTGTCTAGGTAATCTTGTAGCTTCATACTATCTTCCTCGGTCTTAATCCTCCTCATAATTTTTGCATCAGCAGCAAACACTGAGAGGAACGAGTCTATTCCCTCTGGGAGATCATTTACATATATCAGAAACAGGACTGGTCCAAGGACTGAACCCTGTGGGACTCCACCAGTGATGCCTCACCACTCCGAGACCTCACCCCTCACAGTGACTTGCTGTCTTCTGTTGCTTAGGTAGTCCCTTATCCAGTGGAGTACCTTCCCTTTCACTCCTCCCTGCATCTCCAGGTTGTGCACTAGTCTCCTAAGGGGTACTGTGTCAATTTTCCTACAGAAATGTTGGCAATGAATGTAGAACATGAACGAACATAATTATACTTGGTTAGATGCTCATTTAATAACAAAATGCTACTTAAAACATACTAAACGTGTAGACTTACCCAAATCTACTGCTTCTGACATCCTCAAGCCCGGTGACAGAAATCATCCCTGATGGCTTCCTGAGAAAAGACAATGAAATCCTTAACCAGCCAACTATGCCTTCTTAGGGACACCAAACTTTGGTATATAATAATTCTATAATTCATTGCATCAGGGGACAGGCAGCCTGCAGTGTATTCATATACACTAGGCTTACATTGAGGGCCTCCCTTCCCCTAGAGGTCGAATTACTGACCCCACAACAAGCTGACTAACTCCCGAGTACCTACTTACTGCTAGGTGAACAGACCCATTAGGTGATAGGAAATGGGCCCTATCACTCCTGTACCGCCTGGGATTCAAATTCAGAATTCCCAATTGCAAGTTGAGAACGACCCCAACTGTACTACCGAGACCCTTGGGAGTACACATTGATGGCATCTTTAAAAGTGGTTAGGAGACTGTTAACTCAGCCATTACCAATTCATGCTCTTTCCACTCACAGGAGCATGTGAAACATGCACCCTTAATGTTTGCCTTCAAGTTAGCTTATACACTATATAAATATGTATGCCCTGGGAGGGAAGCCGGTAGGCCGAGAGGACAGCACACTGGACTTGTGATCCTGTGGTCCCGGGTTCGATCCCAGGCGCCGGCGAGAAACAATGGGCTGAGTTTCTTTCACCCTATGCCCCTGTTACCTAGCAGTAAAATAGGTACCTGGGTGTTAGTCAGCTGTGACGGGCTGCTTCCTGGGGGTGGAGGCCTAGTCGAGGACCGGGCCGCGGGGACACTAAAGCCCCGAAATCATCTCAAGATAACCTATATAACCTATAACCTGGTGTTGGAGTAAAATTAAAGTGGCAAAATGTTTTATATTGCCTTATGGGTTGTACTGTATAAAATATGTGCTAGTGACTGATAATTATCTGATCAATTTATATTTTATGGGTGTAATTAAAACTAACTGGTCATAAAATATACAATAAAAACTTTTAATCGTTTCTTATACCTGTTAAGGATGAAAACTCATAAATGCGGGTTTTAAATCAATATCTAATAAAGTACAAATTTGAATTACCGTATATTTGAAATATATTACAGACTATAAATTTATTTAATTTTATTCCATCAACTAAAGACAAATAAAGACATTAAAGACAACTAAAGATCGTCAGCAGTATAAAATGCATGTTTGATTAACTTCCCTAAGAGAAGTGTTATAATTTCTGTCCATAACATAACATTTCACTTCATCCTTAACTATCACACCCTGAGTATACAAAATATTTTTTTAAATGGCTCACTGCTGTCTAATCATGGAGATACATACATACAGTACACAAAAACACAAACATACATATACATATTTACAAATTTATATACTCATATTTGCATGAAACCAAAAAACAAACATATGCAACAGATACTGCCTTAATTACTATTAAAATATTGATATATACATTTGGAAATAACAACTACACACCATCATGACATACAATAAAATTAACTAATGCATCGGAATCTTGGAGGGCAAAGTGAGCAAGCATTTCAAAGGAGACTACAGTATAGGGAAATCTATAGTAATTCTAAAGGAAGTAACAAGTGTGGCCCACTCTGCAGTGCAGATAATATTCAAGCACGTGATGGTATCAAACTTACACATTCCTCAACTCCTCAGGTGTTCACACTACTGAATGAACCATGATGGACTTGAAAGTATCTCAACCAGATATACCATGTTCTTGTAATCCGAGAATGGGGGTTATTATCCAAGTATGAGGGCAGACCCTCCGCAAGACCGTTTATGATTACAGTTGGCACCTGCTCATCGGAAACGAATGGTTTCCGATGAGCCTTACAAAAAGACTCCTCTATACACTTCTAATTTCACAGGGTTAGGTAGAGAAATAGGATTATTACAATTTTAACACCGAAATGTACATTTCGTGTAGGAAACCATTATAAAACACACAAATAAGTTAACACATTTTTAATGATCATTGGAAGATCATTAATCATGATCACTGAAAGATCATGAAAGATCAGTAATTAAATCATGGTCACTGGAAACAGGAAAACTACCAGAAAGTCGGATGATAGTTAATGTAGTCTCTATATACAATAAAGGGGAGAGAGAGAGGTGGCACTGAACTACAGGCTAATGTTCCTAACTTGTACACCATGCAAGGTGATCAAGAAGATTGCGTGAAAAACTTTTAGAACATCTGGAGAAGGAACGTTGTAAAATCACTAGCACGGGTTCAGGGATGATAAATCTTGCCTTACAAGTTTAATAGAAATCTATGACCAGACAACTAAAAATTAGACAAGATAGACATGGGCAGGCAGATTGCATATTTTTTGAATGTCAGAAAGCCTTTGACACAGTACTCCATAGGTTGGAGAAGTAGATTGAAGTGACAGGGAAGGTACTCCAGTGGATAAGGGAGTATTTAAACAACATAAGATAGCAAGTTAATAAGAGATCTCAGAGTGGCGAGATATCGCTAACAGTCTCTTACAGGGTTCAGTTCTTGGAACTATCCTGTTTCCCATATGTAAATAATCATTCAGAGGGAAAAGACAGTCTTCTAATTGTTTACTGATGATGCAAACGTAATGAGGAGGATTAAAACAAAAGAAAATAGCAAGAAGTTACAAGATGACCTGGACAAACTGAAAGAATGGGCCAACGAATGGGCCAACAAATGGCTATTAAAGTTGAACTCAAGTAAATGTGAAATAATGAAACTAGGTGTCGGTAGTAGAAGGCCGGACCCAAGGTACCAAATGGGAGATGAAATTGTTCATGAAATGGAGTGAGAAGGACCTATGGGTTGATATCATCTCGTGCCTGTCACTCGAAGTCCACATCAAATAGATACAGTATCATTAGTGGCATATACGAGGTTGGCTAACATAAGAACTGCATAAGAAATCGGTTTATTGCTTAAGTCACACCAGTCCTGGAGTATGCAGTTCCAGCATAAAGTTCATATTTAGTCAAGCACAAGACAAAGATGGAGAAGGTTCAGAGGCCTGGGTTGTGAAGGTCATTGGTCTCCATGAAATTGGTGACCTGACTCCTAATCACTCTCTCAAATATTATTGTTATCATATCACTGTATTATTGTTATCACATTTACTGCAGATAGATACAGTATGATGGAGAGATAGTTAATAGCAGTGAGATGGTTATGAGTGAGCATTAAAACACACAGTTATGACATCACCGGAAAGACACGTGGTAGTACAGTTCTGTACATACTGAAAATCTTATAGTTTTCTAGTTGAATTATCATTGAAGAGTTTTTGTATTTTGGCTTTAATTAATAAAGTTTTTTAACATATTTGTAATAACTAGAATGATGTACAAAGCGAAACACGAAATGTTCACAGTACTCTACAAACAAATGATGGAAGCGGCCAGTAGCAAGTTTATTTAATGACACACTATACATATATATTGTAATTGTTTTGCTATTACAATATGTTATCATTAATTTGATTTAGAATAAAATATTAGAAATGACTAGGCAACAGTTGATGTGAAACAAAAATAACAACACTGGTCAGCAAGAGCAAGTGCATAATGCAACCTTTATTTTCCTTATCAAAATTTAAAGGCAATAGTAATTTTTTTCCTTTTACATTAACTCGACAAGTCTTCCAATTTAATCATATATAAATATATTTAATGAAATAACCACAATTGGATTACAGTACAGTAATAAGTCAGAGGGAATGGATCAAGAATTGCAATTTCCCGGTACTGGTACCTGTAGTTGTGTATTACAGTACGCGCATATTTCGACAGTGTTACGTGTTCAAAATAATACTGTACTGCTTTTAGGCTGAAGGCTTCAGCATGCAAGTGTGACAAATACATATCACATGTTTCTACTGGCATATACTGTAGTGTGTCATTCATGACATGCAAGTCAAAACGGTTCATGCAACCTGTTCCCTAAATATGTCCATCAATATTGTACGGTCATCAGTAAATAAACCCAGTAACACTACATATTGATATTTTTAGGCGGAATTATACTGTCTTTCACGAGAATATTGGAAATAATTATATGAATATGCCACAATTACTGCAACGAAATATGTTTCTTATGATTTGTAACACAATGTACATTTAGGAAAGGGAATAACTTACCAAAATTAATTCTAAGGACTTATTTTATATCTCACATGAGTCTGACCAGAAGTGCAATTGGCTTCAGTAATGCTGTTCTACCGATACAACCTTACTATGTCAATACTGAGGCTCACTTTACTCTTGGATTAAATTAGTAACAGTGATTTGACTGGCAATACAAAATTTCTAATAGAATACAATTCCTAATACTGTACTGTATAAAAAGATATTTAAAATTACCTTATATATATATATCACTATAAAATTGTTAATCACATTGGAAATGCAGTGCAATGTGTCACAAATGAAGAACCTTGAGCTTGACATCGTGGTGTTCCAGCATGGCACCCTGAACTATTCCAACCACAGTTCTGTATGCCGACTCCCAAAATTCATTTTGTCGTCTAAGAACTTGCCTGAAATATGAATAATTACATGTCAATTCTTAATCTGAAAAATGCTCAATTTGTCAAAGATAAATATAAAGCCTAAATGTATTCAGATTTACACCTGGCTATTTATAATATAGGTAAGGTAATTATCAGGAGAAAGTCCAAAGCCATTACAACTATATAGGACTTGATTGAGATGAGATGATAAGAATTTGGGATAGGATAGAAGAAAGGAATTGTGCCCAGCCACTTTAACGATTAGGGACTGAACGCCAACCTACCAAAAGCAAGACCGTTACTCTACTGTACAGTTCAGGTGTACAGTAGAGCAGCAGTCACCAACCTTTCGCAGCTCAAGGATCACGGCCCACCAAACAAAAAATGATGCTTATTAAAGTCAAACTATTTGATGTCATTAAATATAACAGTTAAAGAAAATACAGTTACATACAATATGTACACAAATAAAATTGTCTCGCAGAGCACCGGTTGGCAACCACTGCAGTAGAGTACACTTGGACTGTAGCTGCTTAATTAAATGGCGTCACAAAGAACCAGTATACATCACATATTGTACAGTACTAGTCAAACATCCACACTAGAATTGCAGCCATTTTATAAGACTCATGAGATATTTTATAAGGTACTCCACATGAACTGTATAATAAAAATAATTATTCATTCCATCCAAACAAGCTGGTTTCACACATTCCTGATCACTGTTGCTCTTTGTACAGTGTTCACATACATGTAACATCCTCAACCATTTCTTCACTACAATAAAAGGTACCTACACTCCTACATGTCTTATTTACCTGTAAAGGTACTTCATAAGGACATCTAGCTTTTCAAGATCATGGTGACTGATGAGGCTAGTGTAGAAGCATGCCAATATTTCAGCATCCTCTTCCTCCGGATGTGAACATGATGATACCCACTCACGGATTAATGACTTCACTTCAGACATCTGCAATTATAGAAGCTGTGTAAGCAAGGAAATGGAAACCAATACAGGTACAGTATGTGTGTACGTATCAATTACAAGTGGCAATGTTAGAAGACAAATTTACCAATATGTCAACAGCTCTTTCATAACACTTATCCCTTTTGTGTTTAGTAAAAGCTAACAACACAGACAAACAAATAGAACCAGATCTAGTTTGCTCTGGTTTTCCTTGGGTAGAACCAGAGCAAACAAAGTTCTCAAGCATTGAAAATGAAGCACAGCTCAAGAACAATGAACAGACAGAACTCACTTCCTGCCACTCAAGCATCTGGGTTCAGCAGCAGCAGTGCCAAGCCCCAAAGGAAAGGAGAAGGTTGCCAGTAAGCCAAGATGAATCGGGGACTTTGCACCTAAGCCAAACAGCAGAAGCTGACCCAAGCTCGAAAGAGGCTGAGCCCATAAGGGAAGCAGGGGTCCTGCTTCTGATCCTGAAGGAGGAACAGAAAGATTTCTGCCCGAGCCGAAGAAGGCAGGATGACAGAAACCTCTAGAAACAATACATTTCTGTGGAACCAAATGGCACAAGGCGAGTGATAGAAGGTTGGTAGATGGTAGACCCAGCAGGATCTGTCAGCACCAGACACGAGGTTTGCTCTCACAACAGCATGTAACAGAGGACTCCAATGTTGACCTTAGATGTTTATGCAGTTGTTTTTACATTTATTAGTTCATTCACTATTGTATTTGTGTTGAATAACTAGATTTATATGGTTATATATATGTGTGTGTAAATCACGAAAATTAACACGTGATGAAAAATGTGACAATGTCGGACCACTGAGGAAGAATTGAAACAGGAATTTCCTTAAGTACTTTAGTATATTATTACATCTTCAGAAGGAAAGGAAGGTTATATATATATCTATATATATAGTAAGTAAAGATGTAACTTACAAAAGACAAGGATTGAGGGCATTACTAATTAAAAGGATAATGTATTAAGTCTACAATATGTATTTGTATCATGTTTCTTTGTTCCATGTTTCACATTTCAGGTTCCATGTTTTGTGTTTCGTGTTCCATGGTACATGTTTCATATATTAATTTTCACGATCCAAATTTCGTGATTCATGTTCCATGTTCCATATTTCATGTTCCATGTATTGTATTTCATGTTTCCCATACCATATTTTAGGTTCCATGTTCCATATTTCATGTTAAAAATTTCATGTTCCATGTTTTGTTTACAAACTTTACAATGGACCTTCTGCAGTTGCCGCTGTTCCTATGTTGGGTGTAAATAGCTGCCTCGTATGGGCCAATAGGCCTTCTGTAGATCCTTTATTCTTATGGTATACCTCATTAGAACCATATATTATTGTGAAAACAATATAAACAATCAATAAACATATCACATTCCATATTATAATGGAATTTTATGCCATGACTATTACTGTATTGTAATAACATTTGCCATGATAAACACATTTGCACAGCAAGTAAATCCTGAAATACTAGGAATTTTTGTCACGGGTCAAAACAACTCCATTACATTTATTTAGATCAATTATATCCATATTAGCATCATTAGTATAAAAACCCAACAATAATAGTTAAAATATCAATATATTATACCTGTCTGCCAGTATGACGATAACCACACTTATAGGTTAAATCTCTACAAAATATATCATTAATAAAATAGTCAACTTTATTTTCCATGAAAAGTTAAGTAGAAAGTAAATATGAAAGCGGAACATTATGTTCATCACACTACCCATGTTGAATTTTCTTACCTCCTCAACTCCACAAAGGTTGGGAATATCCTTATCAGCATCAACCCTTGTTTCTTTTGAATTTCCTTCCCCTAACGTTGACAGCGTACTCGACGCAACAGACTCTTCGTTTACATTTGTGTTCTCTGGCGTTAGCTGGCTCCCTGATGTTCTCAGGAGAGGGTACCGTTTTCTTGGCGATGTGTTGACTCCTGGCATTTTGGCCTTGCTCAGTTTATTCCTCTTTTTACCAGGTGCCAAGGGAACTTTCCTTGTAGATGAATTTCCAGACTGAAAATAATTATGTATTAAATATTTATATGATCATTTAATGGATTATATATAATGATACAATGCAAAACCCCTAAACCTTAGCCAAAATTTTACTGTACTGTATATGATGTTCTGAACAGGGCTTCAGTCAACATATTATGCTTTAAAATGTAGCATTAGTGTTTGAATACTAAAGTGCCCATAGGCATAATGGCATTGCCTAGCATTCATGTGAGGCTGCTTGTGACTTTAGTATTGTACCACTAGTCACAAGTATATGGTCCTTCACTGTCCTGACTAATGATTACACCCTAACACAAGTGGACATGTAGTAATGATGAACATATATATGAAGTGAGCGATGGAATGAAGGTGAAGAATGTCGTACGAAAACATCATTAGAAATTGATCAACACCTTGTAGTGAACAATGACTGATCTCCACATTTCACCTAGCAAACAATAATGTACAAACTGTAAAGTTTGGCAAAAGTTGCTTAGTACTTGCTTAGCTTAGTACTTGCCTAGTACTGAACTAGCATAATAATACAGCTGCTTAGACCAAATAAGTATTAAAGCTGAAACGGAAGCCATTCTGTTCAGACACCTTCATCAAAATATTACCAATCTATTTTTTAAATACCTTTAAATGCCCAATACAAATAGTCTAACAAACAGTCAAATATTCCAAATCTTTACATGACTGGCAGTGTGTGCATGAGCCGGCTGCTGTCGTGACCCGGGATGCATAAGGGTCATCAGTCCTCCTGCTCCTGCCTGGTGAGGATCTCTGCTCTCCCTCTTCCCAAGTGAACCTCCATCACCCGCTGGTCCTGCCAATAATATTATCTCATTAATGCATTGAATAAAATAATTAAGGAAACAATTACACTACTATTTATTATTATACAAGTCACCATGTTACTAGAGTGGGAGAATATAATCTGATATGATTTTTTACTCTTACTTATTAAGAAGCAGAACAATGTTAGCATATTTATGAAATTCCATGTTATTTTTTGTTTTACACAAGTTGTTATATTAAGACTCGTCCATGACTGGACAACTTGTTCATGGGTGAAGACTTGCCTGAATTCATGTGTGTAACTCAGGGAATTTTAAAAAAATAAATCTTTAGTAGTCCTTGTATATTATTTTAACCACTATGTGTTTTAACAAATAATAATTGATTGGTTAATTGACTAAAATAATAAGTTTAGTCCTTAGCTTAAAATGATTACAACCGACTAATTACAGTTACAAAACAAGTAGAAAGTACCTGTCCTTTGAGGCCGCTGTTTATTTGGTGATAATGATGCCATTGCTCCAGCTTGCTTTTTGTGCTCAAAGTCCTGGCGGAGTTCTTCCCTCAGATCTTCAGGTATGGCTTCAAGGAAACTTGTATCCACCTACAGTACCCACAATTTGGAATCATTAGTTTAATTCAAGGATTTTTTTTTGTTAAACTACCTACAGCATTTATTAATGACCTCTAGGCTCTCTTTCTGTTTTAACACTTTTTATATCAAATTAGTATTTCACGAACGGTTTCAACCCATATTCACACGCCATGAAAGTGGGAATGAAGTACAGCCTGTAATGATATTGTATGGGTGAACGTGTTAACCAATAAAATACAGTATATTATGAATTTATAATACAGTACAAGGGTTTAGAGCCAAGTTCAGCTGTGCAGTATTATAGACCTACCTGAGAAAAGCTGGTAATTAATGCTTCATTTTGTGCATCTTCTGAAACTGTTGAAGAGTTACTTTTACCATCTGTATTCTCACCAGCTCTCTCTCTAGCAATTGTGTTATCACTGGAGACTGTGCCATTGAAGTTCTTGTTTCCTTGCTTTGTACTGCCTTCACTTTCCTTACTAATTTCAAAATCATTTCCTCCATTTAATTTACCAATATTTAATTTTGAAGTACCTTTCCCTTGATTCGTGGACATCTTTGCATAGCCGTGTGTGCTAGTTTCGGATTCTCGTTTCCCAGATTTTTTAACCGGAGCCACATAGCCCGATGTGCTTGGTTTAGGTTCACCATCCATTACCTCAGGTTTATGTTCAACACTATCACCGACTGACGGGATGATGTAGCCTTGCTGGCGATACTCGGCTATTACTTGCTCTCTCATGTCATCAGGGAGAGCCATGAGAACTTCTAGGTCTATGTTGTTTTTCTGTGCAGACACACTTTTGCTTGTTGACGATGCTGGTGCAGGCTGATCCATACTTGGTCCTGGTTGTGCCGTACCATTTTTTGAGTAGCATTTTTCTTTCGTAAATTGAAACATGGAGCTCTGTGCAACTGAGCACACATTATTATTTGTGTTCATATTGATATGTGAAAGCCCATTTTCTTCTAAAGATGGTGATTGATTAGTTTCTAAAGAATTAAGTGGATTGGTATTGGGGTTAATGGCCTTTTTCTTGATACAGTTCTTGCCTGCTAACAAAAAGCTTTTAATAGAAGATCCACCACAAGATCCAGAGCCACCTGACTGTCCTTGGTGTCCCTCCAGACGTGACACCTATATGGCAAAAATAAAAACCCAATTTATTATTTCAGTTGTTTGAAGATTATTACCTAGCACAGTGCAAATATATTGATGCATTGCATATATTTTTTAAATAATTTTACAAATAGCTTAATATCCATTAATGGCATTAGCATTATATTAATATATAATGTATTGCTAATATAATTATATTAGCATTAGCACTATTACCAATGGCATTACAGTTAAGCAACATTTAGGAATAAAATTATTATTCAGCCATTCCATTATCATCATTTACCTGTTGCCAACTTTCATGTGGTGGGGAGGCAGCAGCCTGAAGAAAACAGGTGAATAATACAGTCATAAGTGATAGATATTATAAATAAAAATATTACTTGTCCATTTGCTATACGATTCACGCTTTAGTGTACAGCAACCGTGATACTATATATTTTGACATCGTTGACACTTGAGTACTGTATAAAGCATGACAGATAAGTATAGCACCCATCATCCTATATGTTGACCCACATTATGAATGACTTAGTGAACGGACTAGGAATATGTTGAAATGTTTAATTATTTAATATCTATAAACTTTTATTGTATTACTTGTATTTATCTCAAGTTGATGCCTCACCACACTTCACACGCATTCCAGCTAATAGGAACAACCTCACAGCATAGGGAAAGAGGGATAGTTAGGAAAAGTTCACAAGTTGCAGAAAGCTACACTTATCGAGGAACATTTCACTAATTCAAAAGTTTGATTTTGAGTGTGTTCTTCTGTCGCTCTCAAAAGGCCTATACAGGTATATGCATAAGATGGAAGCAATCCTGCATAAACATGACAGTGGAACTTACATGTGTTGCAGAGTCTAATTTACCAGAACACTGCTCCTAGAAGCAAGTTTAAAGAAATAAGGGTGTCTAAAAGGCTTAGTTAAGAACCATCTTCTTGCAGTTGTGCCCTACCACTTGGGCTGGACGGTAGAGCTCTTTGGAAATAATTTCCCAAATCTTACATTAAATAGAGTTTTAACCACAAATAATTTCATTATTAAAATAATAAATTAGATTCTTATGAGAATTTGTCCTCTGCTCTGAGTCTTACTTAAAGAATTTTGTGTGGTAGTTTGTAACCATCAGGTTACTAACTCTAAATGAAATACAAATATAAGAAGAAACTACATACCTGAATACCAACGCCCCTGAAGTCCTGTGGCGGAACTTTCACTTGGTGAAGTAAAGATAATGCCTCTCTGAAAAATTAAACTAATCAATCATACATCAAAGCAAAATCATTACAAAATACTGAATGCATGTGGAATGCTTTCTTTAGTAAATGCCCATTTCCACATAAACCAGTTAACATACTACAATTCTTTATATAATACCCTAACACCAAATACTGCTGTAACCTCCAGTCCTAACTGGACTGGAGGGATGCACGAGACCAGTGACACACTAAATGTCCTCGTCTTGGACACGAATCATTCAAGGGTAGAAACCTAGAATAAACAAGGAGTGTCCTACATGTGCATTAGGGTGACAATTATAACTACTGCCCACAATATTCATCCACATCCCAGAATTTTAGATAAAAAATACACAAATATTTGACTGTTAATATTAATGAAAAAGCCAAATCTCAAAGCCACTTCATATTTTCAAGCCTTGGAACTGCTCTCCACTTTTTGTAGAAAATAATCACAATTTTGTTTATGAAGTGTATAAAGTGTTGCTGTGTATTTTCCAAACTTAACCATCAGATATTTGTCAAAATAAAAACAAGATAACTGTATTCAGCTTTAATTTCTTCAATAAAACCTTTTGAATTTGTTATGACTATGAAAATGACAGATGAAACAATAATTTTAAGATTCATATCTTTGGCACCCAAGTTCTACTAAAGTTTAATGCAGTGAAACAAGCTAATTTTTGAGCTGACCAACTGTTGCAACATAGACACACACAACTATACCATATTACTTAGGGGCTAGACAGCCAAGTTGTACCTCTAAACTAAATCTAATGGATCAACCTCAAAAATAAAAATGAATATCCCAAAAACTGATATCCAAAAACACACATTTATAAATTACATCAATATTCTTTGATATCTTGCTAATGCAGAACAATCAGCATTAAAGCAAAGGGTTAATAACAATTTCTCACCTTTCTATGACAGCCGCAGTAGAAGTTGCAGAGGCTACCGAGACAGACTTGGTAATGTTGTCACAAACACCATGTCCCATAAACTTTGCTGTTTCTACAGGGGCATCCTTTGCACGTATCTGACAATTGAAATAAAAAATGCATTGCTAATTATTTTGAAAATATTCTCTACATTTGTCAATACATCTGCATCAATATAATATAGAAATAGTTTAGCGTATGAATTCATCACTAATCATTTTAAATAAAGAAAGTGATTTAACTCTTAAATGTCAGGTTGCATAACATGATTTATTCATGGGCAATCTATGATAACTGAGGAGTGTCTGACATGTGCCTTGGTAACTGAGGTATTCGAGGAGTGTCCAACATGTGCCTCGGTAACCGCGGTACTCGAAGAGTGTCTGACATGTGCCTCGGTAATCGAGGTACTCGAGGAGTGTCCTGCACGTGCCTCAGTAACCGAGGTACTCGAGAAGTGCTCTACGTGTGCCTAAGTAACTGAGATACTCAAAGAGTACTCTACGTGTGCCAAAGTAACCGAGGTACTTGAAGAGTACTCTACGTGTGCCTCAGTTTGAGTACAAGAACACAAGGGCATTTGCAAACTTACTCCTTGTTGTGTTGGATATTGATACCTCTGGCATCATCTGAGAGAGAGCATTGTTGCTCTTGTGGTCGTAGGAATAATTAGAACCATAATGCACTAAGCAGGCCTCTATCTACCAATCTATTTTTCAAACTGCTTACCTCTGTTAATCTAAATATCTGTTAAATTATGTATCTTTATCTGTCTTTCAATTTGTTAGTCAACTAGTCTACTGTATCTATTTAATTGTATATCAACCTAATACTATTGTCAACTCCATAGGATGATCAGGAAAAGCAAGACTGAAATATATAATAAATTAATCATCACTTAATCATTACATCTTTTTGTCAATACAGAATTTGTATTCTTGAAGTCTTCAGCTTCTACACACCATCAGACACCCAACCACCCAGAGAGCAAATACTGGTAAGCATCCATCAAGCATGTCTAACTCTCCTACATTCACTAACCTTGAGCTTGAGTGTGATGCATTTGCCCTTCAGTTTAATAGCATTAAGTCTATTCTCCACTTCAGCAGCCAACTCTCTGATGAACTTGTCGGCATCACTCTGGCAGGTGAACCGGATTCCGTAATTCACTTCAGCAGAAACTGATTTTCTCTGTAGGTATAAGAACAGCATAAATATGTGGTTTACAAAGTTACTCCATGGTTGCACTGCCTTATTCTCCTTGTATGCAATCTACAAAGTTACTCCATGGTTGCACTGCCTCATTCTCCTTGTATGCAATCTACAAATTACATATACTGTATACACTTCCAGCTCCAAATTATCCTTTTGCATATGGCAGTGGTGTTAGGAAGCCGTTATTGCTCGAGAAGGTCATTATTACCAGCGTTAAGGTTAGGTTGATTACTTCATCTGAATATCTCCACCAAGAGATGATACTGTGAGTAGATTTGCCTAAGACACCTCATAGAGACATTTATCTAATTTCCATTTGTACATACATTTTTGTTTTGTGTTCTAATTTTAGTGAATAAATTTGTATACTAAACACATGGTGTTTCAGGAAATCCTTTCTCCCTCATATTGCAAACGTTTGTCAACTCGATCACACAAACAGATCCTCCACCTAAACTAGCATCACTTCATATCAATTTTGATGTTACTAATCTCTGGTCTCCCTGCAAGACCAGGTAGAGATCAGACATGACCTATATCTGGTAAGTTCTCCTAAAGATCTTGTGCCATTGTTCTAGGCATTTTATGTCATTGATAACTACTGTGAGCAGCTTGCATGCCTGTCCTAGCCTAGCTGCAACCAGTAGTGGTCCAACATTAAAGTAATCTTGGACATAGTTCAACTTATTGGCCAAATGATGATGTAACTCCAAATATGTATACCAAGAATTAGTAACTTGGAAGGGCAACATAAGGGTCTGCACCAAGGTGAAGCACTGTGCTTTCCCCACTCGTCCCACATCCTACTTGGCCAATGGTAGTATCTTTGTTCATGAAAGATGTATCATTATCTTGCTTATTCAGAGTAATAGAGACTAGATACCCATATCGTCTGAATTGACTGACAAGCACAACAGGTTCTGCTGGTCAGACACAAGCACAAGTATTTATTCACAAACACTCATTCAGTTGCGTAGAGCCTGACTTATCTTGTGTCACACCTTGTGACACAGATAACATAAAATTGCATCACATAGAATTGGGATGCTACTGTACAGGAACAATGTGGGACCTTAGACAAGCCACCAGCTTCCTGTCTCAATTGAGGCCATTGGAGCTGGTGGCCCTTGGGTAAATACCCTATATTGCTGAACAAAAAATTACAACTTCTGGAAAAATATATATTCCTATATTAACAAGATCCCTATTTCTGCTAACCAAATTAGGTAAATTAGCTCATGATTATTATTATACTTAAAGTCATAACTGTCTCAAAGGTATCAAAATGTACCCTATGGAAAGGAAACAAGAGAGGTATCAACTACTGCAATATGTACATGGATGATACTAGGCCAGGTCCTAAATTTGAACAGTAATATAACAACATACTGGAGTGAAAGATAAGGAAGGAAATACAGAATAAAATCAGAGAGGAGTAGTGGTGCCACAGGCACAGAAGGCACTGTATGAATGTCAGAGGTCTAAAACTGTTTAATACTCTGGTATCAAGCACAAGAAATATTGCCAGAATAAAGGTTTTCAAGAAGCAATTAGGTAAGTTCCTGTAAGAAGTGACAGAGCAGCCAGGTAGTAGTGGATATGTGAACCTGTGGGCCACTCCAAGCAACAGCCTGTTGGACCAAGTTATCACAGGTCAAACCTTGCCCCAGGTCAAGTTTGGGGAGTACAAGTACTCCCAGAACCCTCTCCAGGTACACTCCAGGTAATAGGCACTTACCACATGCTCACTCTTTACTGGACGATCATCAATTCCTCGACAGTAGTTAAATAGGGACAGGCCTGTTCGTGCCCCAAAAGCAGCTTGCAAGTGACCAAGAGTTTTAGCCTGCAAGTCCCCACAAGTTTGTATTCCTTCACTTTGCAGACGGCTTTCAAGGGACCAGCCAACACCTGAACAAAGACTGTTCATAAATATAAACAACAGAATATGGTATTAAACAATGATGACAATTATAATCATCATACAGATTAAAAAATGACTAATGTTCATACTTCATTCATTAATTGAAAATACCTTGTCTGAATGTTCCACTACCCTTGATAACTTTCTGGGATATCTGCAATATAATTCAGTGTTGGGTTTAATTACTTTAGGTGCTGCAACTGCCTTAAATGAAATGAACATAAAAAGGGGAACCAAAGGAATTAGCATACCAGTATTTTAAGAATAAATGATAACGTAGCTGTGAGTGCATGCTCCCACCCTGCACACACACACACATACATGCTCAGATGTATCACATATACATGATGCATCACATGTATCACTCACGCTTGTTCAACCCCCTACTTAAACAGCTTATCTGTGAGCCACACCCAACCAAATCCAATAATAATTCATTAAAAATGAACCAGCCTAAAGTGAGGAAGTACTGAACTGTACTACATATACTGAATTTTTATTTTAATTAATTAAATGTGAGGCTAACCATTTGTTCATTTTTTGCTTTGGAAGTACTGTATGAGTTCAGTTATCTGAAGTCTGCTGAACTGAATATTTGGGTCATCTGGCCAAGATCACGTCTACCGTGTGCCTACCTTGTGGAGGTTCTGGGGATCAGCATCCCTGCGGCCCAGTCTCCGACCAGGCTTTCTGGTAAGTTGTCTGGTCAACCAGGCTGTTAGACGTGGCTGCTCGTGCCCTGATGAATGAGTCATAGCCCGGGTGATCAAGTAATTTTCTGGATAATTTCTGTCCAGATCATTTTCTGCCAAACTACTCCATATCCAGACAGAAATCCGGATAACTGGAGATTTGGCCAGACAACTCAGACTGGCAGAGTCTAAGTCAAGTCTGGATAATTTTCTTGAAAAACTTCGGCATATCCGGACTGGAATCCGGTTAACTAGTGATTATGTTACGTAAATTTTCAAGAACTACACATTTCAAGACCTACAGCATCAAACAAGAAGATGAACTACAACAAGGTAAGGAGAATTTTCTATTTTAAATTATATTTTTGACGAATAGTGTGTGTGAGGAAATTTGAATTATACAGTATTGTATAATACTGTATTATACATACAGCACTTGGTTGTGGTACAAAAAAAATTGCAAATACGGTCCTTTTTGAGCACTCCCTGTAAGAATTTTGCCAATTCAGATGTCTGGCTTAGCTAGTGAGGGGAGTCCTTCCCATATACACCAAATAAGTGAGCTTAGAGAGTACGTACTGTACTTTAATTACATGTTAGAAAGTTACCTGGTAGACCAGAGACCTTCTGATCCTTCATGTAGTAAGGCAAGTCATCAGGATCTGCCAGGTGCTGGCCATTGGGTTTAGCTAGTCGAGTAGCCATGCGGGCCACCAGCATGTTGGGTCCCATACCAGCTGAGCATGGACAACCTGTGTCTGCCTGTAGGATAATAATAAAATCTGTGCTACTGTTAAATTGCAAACAAAGTCACTGTTATAATGCAAGCCCTCTTCCCCCATGACCCTGATGCAATGCAAATTTATTAACACTGACCTAGGTCACTAGAGCACCACCTTCCTTTACTGAAACAAAAACATTTCAGTGGGCCATTATGAAGGAAGTGACAACAAGTGAAACAGGTTAATGTTTCCAAAAAGTTTTAAATACAATTTTTTTACTGACCTGAAAGAAAATCACGACAAGAGTACCCTCGCCTTTGTGACTAACCTACCAAGCATTACTACTTTGAAAGCAAATACCTACTTAAACACCTACGTTAAAGATCTTGTACCTTTCAGTTTTAAGAATAACCGTTTCTTTACATTTATGTTCACCAGTATACAATGCATTTTGTTACTTATGTAAATTTGAATTAACCTAATTATTACCAGCCTATGGAACTTACTTCATTTCAAACTGAGAGTTGTGCTGTGTTAGCCATACATTGTATAGTATGTACAGTAAATATTTGACTGATATTGCATTTAATGATTTTGCATACCACATGTAAACCTCAGCTCCATGTGTTCCTTTAAATTGCTGCAGTGATTAGGAAGCAGTATTCAGTAATTGGGTAGTCATCCATGTGTCAAGTTAGGATCTGCCTTCGGGAGCCATGTATCATTCAGTTGGACTAACACTTGTCCCTCAGTTCTGATTAGAGTAGCATGACTTCAAGTTAGAATAAAGAAACTCTCAATGTATTAGTGTTAAGTTTACTGAATAAATTTGAAAACCATTCGACACTTCTGAGTGAAGACTTCTCCTTTTAAGAAATATGGCAACTCCCTATTGCCCATCCATAAATTATTCTAGCACTAATCATATAAACTAAAAATATTTGATGAGGATACCATTGTTTTCCCTGCTTAAGAACTGAGAGCGAGAATACACCACCCAGTAAGATCACTAACTTTGGAATACTTGTTTTGATGGAGTCTAAAATTAGTACAATCCTACACACATCATCAAAAAGACATTTGGTGTCAGAACTGTCAATAGACAATATACCCTAAGCAGTGAAGACAGAGGCAGACTCTATACACAGTTTCAAATGTAGATATAACAATTCCATTTGCATGGGCGACTATACACCAGTCAAATGAAGGTGAAAAGGAGAGACCAAAGAGCAGAAGCTCAACCTCCATCAAGCACGATTAAGAAAGTACAATTAGGCAGGTATTTAAAGAAGCCCAGATGCAAAACAAAGAATAGAGCACCACAGAATCTGGAAAATCACCATGGTATCAGCATGCCAGTGATACCAATTTCCATATGCCTAAGAATTCAGTGAAAATATATAGAAAAGCATCCTTAAGGCTTATACTAGCCTCCTAGACAGTCACACAGGTCAACCTACAATCCAGAAGAATGAGTATAATACCATACAGTATTATGTTCTCTCTATGAGGAATGGTTAACTTGGGGAAGAATTGTGGAAGTACAAGGTGCCAATTTGTTAAGGCTACCTGGCTTTGAGTGAATCTGGGAATGGAATACAGAGGGGTCCCAGAACAACCAAAAGCATGGACCCCAGCTAGGAAGCCACTGATCAGGACAAGTGATAGTATGAATACACAAAAATAGCTATATCCCACAAGCAACCTATATCTTACAGCCCAGAACCTAACAACTTAAGTTTTCAATGGGTAGGGGGGGCCCAGGACACAGGGTAACTGCAAAGTTTGATCCACTAGAGGAGACAGCACCTTGAGGATGAGGAAGGCACTCCCTAAGCAGGTCCACAAAAATAATGCAAAAACAAAAACAGTCCAAGAGATACTGTGGGCCCCAGAGGGAAGGGCTCACAAAAGTGGGAAGGTCAGTTGGGAGGAGCCTCAAACAGCATGGGAAGTGCAAAGCCCAGAGCCCCACACACACTTGGGAAGTAAGGGATACACAGGATAAAAGCCTTCAGTGACAGCCCTCAAGGAATCTGCCATTGAACAACCAGGAGTCTGACCAACTACTCAAGGAATAACCCACAGAAGTTAAGTCTAGTAGCAAGAGGAATATACCCACACACCAACCCATCACATCATGGACTGAGAAAAGGGAAGCCACACTTATTCTACAACTTTAAGCTAAATCTGTTGGACAGAGCCATCTCAGACTCATTCAATGGAGACAATGTTGACGACACATTGAAATTGAAATGTGTATCAAAGTTCAGGAAAAATAACTGGAAAAGTTTGCCATGCATATAGAGACACATGGGCCCATGACCAAATCCTGAGGCACTGTCAGGAAGTGATATAACTCAACAGGAGACTGAACCACACCAGTTAGAGGCACACACTAATCAACTTCAAGAGGGGGGGAGTTGATGATAACCCTGAAAGCCGATGGCCTCTGACAATCAATACCAGGGAAATCAACCCTGAAACTAGGCTAAAGCAGATAACAATGGTTCCAGGCACACACACAGGATTGGGTCATCATGTCATACAACATGACATCCTGCAGGGATGCCAGGTACTTGTGAGATTGGTACCTAAGAAATCTCCTGACTTATCAATGATTCAATGACAGCAGAGTCAAATTACATATTATTGCAGGAATTGCAGGAATTGCAGAGTGTAAGTTCTTAAAAAGAACAATGACCCCACAAAAATAATACCTGTACTTTATCCCGAAGATAAGTTGCAAAGTCTTCAGGTGTGACCTGGCAGGTTTGAAGCAGTTCCGTTAAATCAACATACATTTCATCACAGCTAACCGCTTCTATATCATGCGTAAAACTGGAATGAAGAATTATTCTTTAAATAATTTTAAGTATAAGAGCCTCAGTTTACAACATTTCCTTTCAAATTCCTGACTCTGCTTTGTAATGAATATAACTTAATTTTTACAGAGAAGGAATCTCCATACAGCACGCACTTGCTATTAATTGGGAATAAGTGGGGGTGGTGGCCACAGTTGTCTTTTATAACGTGTAATTCCTGCTGTCAAACTTGGGAACCTGGGTCATACCTTGAGTGGGTTCTTGGAGTTTTTTTTACTCCAAGCTAGGTCTGGGGCCAGGCTTTACTTACGAGAACTTGGTCCAACAGACTTTTGTTTTGAGCAGCCTGCATGCCTACATATCCACTACAACCCTGTTGGTCTGGTACTTCTGGCAGAAAACTGTCTAGTTTTCTTGAAGACTTCCAGTTTTGTTCCACCAATATTTCTTATATTTCCTGGGATCTCTGAAGTTTATAATGTTCTCTGATTATGCCTATGGCACCTCTACTCTTTACATGCTGCATTTCCTACCATATCAGTACGTAACCCCACAAACCATTAACAGTTATCTGATAGGTAAACAGAGGCATCATGTAAAGGAAATGGGCCAAACTATTTCTGTCCTGCACTGGGAATCATGTTAAGTAATGAATAAAATGCATGAATAAAATGCTAGAAAATATTGTCCCATGAAAACCATGAAAAAGTGAAATGTGGTTTTGTTAAGAGAAAATGGCCAAAACTATGAACAAATAAATCCCAAATAAGAAAGTTCTCCTTTTAAGCATACTACATTTTTTATTCATTAAATGAAATCTCAACATAAGGGTTGCAGTTTCAAAAGTTAAAAGCTGATGCAATGAAACATTAGAAAAGAAGTCTTCACATAGAAAGAAGTAATAATAATGGAATCAGGAATTTTCCAGCTTGGAGGGATTATTAACCACATTCTGTATGTGAATAATGTTACATGAAAAAATATAGTACATCTCTTCAAAGACTTGCATATCATGTGATAAACTAAAGAATTGACTAATTAAATAAATTTAATTAGAAAAACAGAAAAAAACTACCTGAGAAAAACAAAATTGTATATGTTAACTAAACTTACCTGGCAACAATGTCATAGAGTTTGAATGAAACTTCTTTGTATCCATCAAAATCATAGGGTATTGTCTGAAGGTCAGGACACAGCTTCAGTGCTGGCCCAAGAAACATGCCATTTTTCACACCAGCTTTACGCGCTTCATAGCTACATGATGCAATTTCTGACAACGAGCTTGTATCATCAATTGAAGTCACTGTTGAGAACTTTGTATTAGACGCAGGAACCACTACACTGCCCGTACTCGGGTTCACCTCATTATTTTCGTCATCAAAATATTCAAATTCTCCATCAAATTTTCCCGATTTGGCAGCAGCCATTGGCTGCATTTTTCTTTGTAGTCGTTTTTTAGCTCGGTCCTTATAGTAGTTAAACTCATACTGCCTATCCATTCCTTCTCGTCCGTGAGATCTCTGGTTACCCCGTGCATGTGTCACAGCTAGAGGTTTGCCACGTAACTCTGGATGCTTACGGAGACCCACAGACACAAAGAAACAGTCCATGTCAATATGCATAATAGTTCTTTTTCTTTTCTTTATAACAGACACAGAATTTTTTCCTGTTGTAAAATCTTCAGCAGAATATACACTAGATAAATTATTTTCTCCACTTTTATTTTTTATCCACTCGATTAAATTTCTTCGTCCAGGAAAACCTTCCTCTTTACTCTGTAGCTCATTTATATATTGCTTAAACATGGCTCCCATTGTTGAGATATGGTGAAGCCTTGAATTGTTATAGAATTCAGAGAGAAATCCTGGGTTTGCAGTGCTCATAGAGTGATCTTTTGTTGGGCTAGAAATATGTAATGCAGTCATACTAGAATGTTTATGCCTTTCATCACTACTCATATTTTGAGTAGTTAAACACGAGTTTGTTTTGCTACTGCTTAATACCGTGTCTAAGTGCACTGGCTCAACCAATGATGTCTCTTTGCTGATTTCTCGACAGACTGCGCCATTACCTGCAAGTGTGTTTTCTACTGAGCTACGTACTGTGACTAAATTTCCAATACTTGAATCATCCTTGCCTTTTGTTAAGGATGATGGTTTAAAAGACAGTTTGGGTTGACTTGTGGATTGATGAGTGTAGAGAATATACTTAGTGTAGTCCAGCAGATGTCCAGCTTCCAGTGACTCTGTAATCCACTTTGGACTTACAATCTTACTTGTGTTCAAGTTCTTTATTTTAGTATCTGGAAGGTTACTGGCGATGATGTGGGTGGTGTTACTGCGAGAATAGTAGTGGTGATAAGTGCCGCCATTAGTCATCATTATGCGTTTCAACTCTTCTGCTGTTGGTTCTACAAAATGTTTCTTATTAGAAAGCAACATATGTACATAAATCAATGGTTCAATCACTTAGCAAAGTGTTTAAAGTATAATACCAAATTATATACACAGAGGAATCACATTATCGTGATATATCAACGACAAAATCCAGATTCCCAGATGCATGCTCAAGACGATTACGTCACGACATGGTCAAAAGAAAATAAAAAAAAATTATTTTGATCATGTCGTGGCGAAGTCGTCTAGCACGTGCATCTGGGATTGATGACCCAGTGCATAGGTTCGAATCCTCATCATGGCTTTTGTGGATTTTCTCACTAAACTATATACTCTAATTTCATTATAATATTAGACATTTATAGTCATACATAATACTTTATGTCAAGCAAATGATATTATTGCATTTGGGATAAAAATGTTGAGGGATCAAACAAAGATGTGGAAGAAAATGCAGAATCAAAAGATAAATGGCAATATTTAAGGTGTAGAATACTAAATATATGAACTAGGAATGTTAACATTTCATTTAAGTACATAACAATTAATATGAAAAAGATATTTTAAACTGAATTGTGGCTTGCAGGAAATCAATAGTTAAAATATACAGCATTGTATATCAATGATAGTGCACATAGCACATTGTACATCAATGATTGTGCAGACCCATAGGGGTCTAGTAACCGAGTGGACAGTGAGTGGGACTCGTAATCCTGTGGCCCGGGTTCGATTCCCGGTGCCAGCAGAGACAAATGGGCAGTTTCTTTCACCCTGATGCCCTGTTACCTAGCAGTAAATAGGTACCTGGGAGTTAGACAGCTGTTACGGGCTGCTTCCTGGGGGGTGGGGAGGGGGGGAGGAAAAAAAAAGTTAGTAGTAAGTAACAGTTGATTGATTGACAGTTGAGAGGCGGGCTGAAGGAGCAGAGCTCAACCCCCGCAAGCACAACTAGACGAATACTAGGTGAATACATGTCAACCCACACTAACTACACGTGTCCCACAAAAATATGTGAATTTGGGAATACTGTATTGAACTACAGGTTATATAGGTAAAAATAGAGAAATGGATCATAAACCCAGTTCTTGCATTAATTGAAATTTTGTATTAAATACCTACCTTGTGAATAGTAACTGCACTTAAATTCTAACCTATTACATATGCATAACAACAAAGTGTTGATCACAAACCTGTATACCCATTCACAAAGATTGCAACACCTTTAAATACTCCTTGATTGTCTTCACCAACAGTTGTTGTGACAGAGGTCTTGTACTGATTCTGTAGCTTAGCAATTTTAACTGCCATGTAACCCCCCTGCAAATTGTAAACAAAACAATTAATTATGGCATAAGTATTTGGAAACATTTAAACATGTTCCTCTCTAGCTATCAGCTCATTACATTTTGATCCATATTTGTAGATATAACGAGGATGAAAAAGAGCTTAAACTATGACATACGCTTTCATAATTTTTAATGCTTACCTTTTACTATGTGTCTAAATTTAAGGAATCAAAATAATGATGTAAACTAAGTTTCAAATACAATTGCAAGACATGTCTATAAATAATGTCCGAGTGTACACACAAACATCAGAATTGCTGGTGTATGATGTCAAGTGTCGGCACATGTCTGCTGCTATTGCATGTTTTACTGACCACCATATTTGGAACACCTGAACAATGTTTCTCAAGTTCTGTATATTGACTGAATGCATGTACAGTACCTAAAAATAATTTAATTTGCTAAACAAAAACTTTTTTTTATCTTATTCACTAGTAAGTAATACAGAACAATACTGACTAAACCACACGTCAGAAGATGAGGAGATGACAACGTTTCAGTCTGTCCTGGACCATTATCAAGTTGATCATTATCACAATCGACTTGATAATGATCCAAGATGGACCGAAACGTTGTCTCCTCCTCATCTTTTGGTGTGTGGTTTAGTCTTCACATCTTCAGCCACATTATTGTGACTGATTGTCTGCACATAATACTGTATACCCATAAGAACACAGAGAACATAATTATATATTCAATGAATTACAATGAATTATAATAGAACACATAAGAACAGCAAAATCATATGTAAGTCAAACAATTGTTGAGAAAACTCAAAAGACATAATTATGTTTTAATATATGGCATTGCATGCAAATCATATCATTTATAGTGAATATGTTCATATTTGTATTGATTATGACCATAGTTATTACAGCACCAAATGGTATTGTGGTGGACTGAAAGGTCAGAGCATAGCAACACCAGTGTTAGATACCAAGGTACAGTACTTATTTGTGGCATTGACTATCATGCTTCCATAAAAATCACTATATTCTGTATTTATAAACTGAAAGTAACAAGTGCCTCAAGTAGCAAGTCACATTATCTTTATGAAAAGTTAGAACATATAAGAACTTACAGCTTCCTCAAACCCAGTGGAGCCATAGCCTCTCCTACGCCCCCGTCTGCCCCTGTCACCACGTCCCATTATGGCTTCTACAGCCCAGACATGTTCATAGTTTCTTGCCACATGTACTTGGTGGCACTTGGCGAGAACTCCTTCATTATGAAAGGTCTGGTAAGCTTCAAGGTTCTCTCTCATCCGGATGATCCTTCATCTATAGATAAGACTTTGATGTAAAGAAATAATAAGCTGTATAATCATAAAGTTTCCTAATACAAAATCTAAGGAAATTTTAACATTTCATGGTAAATTAAAAAAATTGCTCAATTACTTTAACAAACATGTTTGTTAGCAATGATGCACCCTGTACCAAAGATATTCTAAGTGTTCTAATTATGGGTCTTGTATGTCAATTGATGTTTGAAATTATCTAAGGGTTAGAAAAGTTTTCAAACCCAAAACCATGAATTTTGGTAAAATACTAATGCCTTGTAACCAATTATCTATGACATAAAATCAAACGGGATAATTAAAAAGTTATCAAATCTTAAAAAGAGTAGTATCAAAGACCTGAGAAAAGTTTGACCTGTCTACATCATTGCTACTCTTTAAACAACCCTAACCTAACACAGCCAAACCTAACTGAACCTAACGAAAATAAGATAAAAAAAAATTATTTTAAATATAGTGCGTGCTTGTGTGACATACGCTTTCATAATTTTTAATGCTGTTCAGGTTTTAGATGTAGGCACTTCCTGAACTTATTGTGTAAATCTTAACTTTATCTCGTCGCTGAAGGATAGGTGTACGGTTAAAAAATAAACCAATTAAAATAAGTACAACAAAAAATAACTACGATGAGATCAAAGGCGATAAATGTTCCAGACACGGCTCCTCAAGGGCGGACCACAGCCAAAACCTGTAATTCTTCACGTTGAGCCTTATGGAATTTAATTTACGACTGCTGAGGGTCTATGAAACGACCGTTGCTGTTGTGGCTGAGTAAAGGGAAGGGTTGTATGATTGTAGTCCACTATATACAACCAGCGTCAGTGTCAAGACCACCACGAGCAACACCTGCGTTTGTTTACATCCCGGCGCGGTGTTGCCAGCCCCCGGCGCGGTGGTGCCAGCTCCCGGCCAGCGCAAGTTGCTATATTTTAAACTTTATTTCACCTGATTTACCACGGGAGACATCTCCCGTCACGCAGGGTGCAGTCGCACCTCCACAGATCTCCAGTATCATCTATTGATACTGGTAATGACTCAAAAGGGCCACCACTTACGGGCTATTCATGCCCATGCCACCTCTTGGGTGGCTTAATCTTTATCAGTCAATCAACCTGTACATTGTACTACCTAAGCTTTTAATCAAAACAAAATGCATAAATTCATTCAAAATGATCTGCTACCAGAAATTTTAGCCAAATATCCCCAGTTTGCTAACTGTAGGTAGTAACTAAGTGATTGTAACCTATCCACCGCTGCCCACTGGATGGGGGGCGGTGTGCAGGACAAACATATAACTTGTGACACTATCTCTCCACATATGTCAGTTGCTTAATTTAGAACCTGTACTTGAGGTCGATCTCGAATCCATTGTTGATGTGATGACTTATATTGAATTTTGTAACTAGCTCATCAAGATTGTAACTTGCTTAGCTAAATGAATTGTGGGGTTCAGTCCCTGAGCCCATTATGTGCCTCTGTAACCCTTTCCACTACCGCCCACAAGATGGGTATGGGGTGCATAATAAATGAACTAAACTAAAAATTCACTACACAATTGAGGTTCTTATTTGCGTCTTATTTCATTGTAAAAGGAGTTCATTTCCAAACAGGGTTGTATAAATAAATCTTATCTTATCTTTGCATTCAATTTTGTACGGTAATTTTTCAAACTTAAAATGTAAATAGCTATATATATATACCCCCTCTAAATGAAAAATGGCCTAATTTAACATATGTGCTAAAAATATTAACATAAATAATTCGTTTGTTAGATAACAAGATATTCATAGCAATAAGGTTTCTTGGAATGGCCTATAATGCACGCAAATACTAGTTTACGCACTTTTCGGGTAGTACGCCTGGAATTTCAAAATGGCGTTCAAACAGCGGTTGGTCGTTGAAGGCTCAGCTGGTCAGTACTGTCGCTGCCGCCAATGCGACAACATGTACTGCTGATTTCCGACATCAGCAACATTGCTCCAGGTAAGAGTGATAATTCTTTTTGACATATTTATATCTTATATATACACAGTATATAGAATTATATAATATAATGGGGTTTCGCGTATGGAGTTTCCTTCGAACAATGCCTATCAATGTTTTTTTTTTTTTTTTTTTTTTTTTTTTTTTTTTTTTTTTTTTTTTTTTTTTTTTTTTTTTTTTTTTTTTTTTTTTTTTTTTTTTTTTTTTTTTTTTTTTGAGATATATACAAGAGTTGTTACATTCTTGTACAGCCACTAGTACGCGTAGCGTTTTGGGCAAGTCCTTAATCCTATGATCCCTGGAATACGATCCCCTGCCGCGAAGAATCGTTTTTTCATCCAAGTACACATTTTACTGTTGCGTTAAACAGAGGCTACAGTTAAGGATTTGCGCCCAGTAAATCCTCCCCGGCCAGGATACGAACCCATGACATAGCGCTCGCGGAACGCCAGGCGAGTGTCTTACCACTACACCACGGAGACTGCGGAGAGATGTTAGTTTAGTTCGTTTATTATGCACCCCATACCCATCTTGTGGGCTACCTTGAGGTGCTTCCTTGCTTAGTGTCCCCGCGACCTGGTCGTCGACCAGGCCTCCTGGTTGCTGGACTGATCAACCAGGCTGTTGGACGCGGCTGCTCGCAGCCTGACGTATGCGTCACAGCCTGGTTGATCAGGTATCCTTTGGAGGTGCTTATCCAGTTCTCTCTTGAACACTGTGAGGGGTCGGCCAGTTATGCCCCTTATGTGTAGTGGAAGCGTGTTGAACAGTCTCGGGCCTCTGATGTTGATAGTTCTCTCTGAGTACCTGTTGTACCTCTGCTGGGCGGTAGTGGAAAGGGTTACAGAGGCACATAATGGGCTCAGGGACTGAACCCCACAATTCATTTAGCTAAGCAAGTTACAATCTTGATGTTACAAAATTCAATACAAGTCGTCACATCAACAATGGGTTCGAGATCGACCTCAAGTACAGGTTCTAAATTAAGCACCTGACATATGTGGAGAGCTAGTGTCACAATTTATGTTTGTCCTGCACACCGCCCCCCATCCAGTGGGCAGCGGTGGATAGGTTACAATCACTCGGTTACTACCTACAGTTAGCAGACTGGGGATATTTGGCTAAAATTTCTGGTAGCAGATCAGGTCCCCCATTTGTTCCGATTTTTTTTCAAATTGGATTTTACAATTCAAGTGTTATGTTATTTACTGCTTTAGCAGATAGGCGGTTCCATGGGTTTATAACCCTGTGGGTGAAAATATAGCTTATGTTTTCAGTCCTACACTGCGGCTTGTTGGACTTGAAACCGTTGTTCCTTGTTTGTGTTCCATCTGACCTTTTGAAGTTGTTCTCTAGATCCATATCTTCGAAACTGTTCAATATTTTAATAGGCAGGCGATGAGTCACAATAACGTGGCTGAAGTATGTTGACCAGACCACACACAAGAAGTTGAAGGGACGACGAGTTTCGGTCCGTCCTGGACCATTCTCAAGTCGATTCAAGTCGATATTTTAATAGTTTCGGTGAGATCCATCCTGGCATGCCTAGTTTGCAGTGTTGTTAGCCCTGTGACCCTCAACCGTTCATGGTATGAAACTAGACCTCATTCTGCAATTATTTTTGTCGCCTGGTGTTCAATTTTCTCCATGAAAGGTTGGGCGCGGGGTGGGTTCTCTGTCGGCCTCCAAGTGGGTTCTCTGTCGGGCTCCAAGTGGGTTCTCTGTCGGGCTCCAAGTGGGTTCTCTGTCGGGCTCCAAGTGGGTTCTCTGTCGGGCTCCAAGTGGGTTCTCTGTCGGGCTCCAAGTGGGTTCTCTGTCGGGCTCCAAGTGGGTTCTCTGTCGGGCTCCAAGTGGGTTCTCTGTCGGGCCCCAAGTGGGTTCTCTGTCGGGCCCCAAGTGGGTTCTCTGTCGGGCCCCAAGTGGGTTCTCTGTCGGGCCCCAAGTGGGTTCTCTGTCGGGCCCCCAAGTGGGTTCTCTGTCGGGCCCCAAGTGGGTTCTCTGTCGGGCCCCAAGTGGGTTCTCTGTCGGGCCCCAAGTGGGTTCTCTGTCGGGCCCCAAGTGGGTTCTCTGTCGGGCCCCAAGTGGGTTCTCTGTCGGGCCCCAAGTGGGTTCTCTGTCGGGCCCCAAGTGGGTTCTCTGTCGGGCCCCAAGTGGGTCGTCGGTCGGGGCTCCGGGTGGGTTGTCGGTCGGGGCTCCGGGGTGGGTTGTCGGTCGGGGCTCCGGGGTGGGTTGTCGGTCGGGGCTCCGGGGTGGGTTGTCGGTCGGGGCTCCGGGGTGGGTTGTCGGTCGGGGCTCCGGGGTGGGTTGTCGGTCGGGGCTCCGGGGTGGGTTGTCGGTCGGGGCTCCGGGGTGGGTTGTCGGTCGGGGCTCCGGGGTGGGTTGTCGGTCGGGGCTCCGGGGTGGGTTGTCGGTCGGGGCTCCGGGGTGGGTTGTCGGTCGGGGCTCCGGGGTGGGTTGTCGGTCGGGGCTCCGGGGTGGGTTGTCGGTCGGGGCTCCGGGGTGGGTTGTCGGTCGGGGCTCCGGGGTGGGTTGTCGGTCGGGGCTCCGGGGTGGGTTGTCGGTCGGGGCTCCGGGGTGGGTTGTCGGTCGGGGCTCCGGGGTGGGTTGTCGGTCGGGGCTCCGGGGTGGGTTGTCGGTCGGGGCTCCGGGGTGGGTTGTCGGTCGGGGCTCCGGGGTGGGTTGTCGGTCGGGGCTCCGGGGTGGGTTGTCGGTCGGGGCTCCGGGGTGGGTTGTCGGTCGGGGCTCCGGGGTGGGTTGTCGGTCGGGGCTCCGGGGTGGGTTGTCGGTCGGGGCTCCGGGGTGGGTTGTCGGTCGGGGCTCCGGGGTGGGTTGTCGGTCGGGGCTCCGGGGTGGGTTGTCGGTCGGGGCTCCGGGGTGGGTTGTCGGTCGGGGCTCCGGGGTGGGTTGTCGGTCGGGGCTCCGGGGTGGGTTGTCGGTCGGGGCTCCGGGGTGGGTTGTCGGTCGGGGCTCCGGGGTGGGTTGTCGGTCGGGGCTCCGGGGTGGGTTGTCGGTCGGGGCTCCGGGGTGGGTTGTCGGTCGGGGCTCCGGGGTGGGTTGTCGGTCGGGGCTCGGGTGGGTTGTCGGTCGGGGCTCAGGGGTGGGTTGTCGGTCGGGGCTCCGGGCAGGCTTTAGGTACTCAACTGGCGGGCTCTGGGTGGGTGACTGTTCGGGCTCCAGGTGGGTGTCTGTCCGGCTTCGGGTGGGTTCTTGGTAGGGCTTGGGGGGGGTGTGGGTACTTGCTAGGGCTTGGGGGGGGTGTGGGTACTTGCTAGGGCTTGGGAGGGTGTGGGTACTTGGTAGGGCTTGGGGGGGTGTGTGGGTTCTTGGTAGGGCTTGGGGGGGGGTGTGGGTTCTTGGTAGGGCTTGGGGGGGGGGGGGGGTTCTTGGTAGGGCTTGGGGGGGGGGTGGGTTCTTGGTAGGGCTTGGGGGGGGTGTGGGTTCTTGGTAGGGCTTGGGGGGGTGTGGGTTCTTGGTAGGGCTTGGGGGGTGTGGGTTCTTGGTAGGGCTCGGGGGGGTGTGGGTTCTTGGTAGGGCTGGGGGGTGTGGGTTCTTGGTAGGGCTCGGGGGGGTGTGGGTTCTTGGTAGGGCTCGGGGGGGTGTGGGTTCTTGGTAGGGCTCGGGGGGGTGTGGGTTCTT